ATTTTAAACTTACTTGACCGAAGAAACAAATGTGTGTTTTGGGAAGATGGTTAAAAATTGATTTTTTGATTTTTTAAAAAAAAAGTATAAAAAATATAAAAGATGATATGATCTATACTATATATTAAGCAAAAGGGGATTTTTAACCCCAAGGCCTGTGGGAGCTTCAATATCCCAATCTGAATTTTTTAATTTTTTATTAAAAAAAATACTCAGCATTTATTAATTTGGTCAAAATTCCCTGATTAGCATTTATTATTTTTTTTCAATCCACGTGTCTTTCCACATGCCTGCATTTATTGATTTGGTCAAAATCTCCTGATCAACATTTAAAATCCCTTCATACAAATAATTATAGATACAATCTGTGTATAGTTGCTGCAATACCCTTTTCAACTTCTCTTATACACTATGGTTAGTGATAAAATTATTAAATTATTTTTATAAAAAATCTTAAAAAACATAATTTATATATTAAAAAATTTTTAAAAAAATATAAATATCTATAATTAGGAAAATGCATTGGACCCCTAGTGGAGGTGCTGGGGGTCCTTGCTGATTGGCTAAAAAATTACTTTTTTTTTTTTGGACTTTAGCCACTGGCAGTGTGCCATGTGGCACTGGGGGTTGCTGGGGGTGCCCAGTCACTGGGGGTCCTTAGCATTACTCCTATAATTATCCCGTGCATAGCACGGGTGATAAGGCTAGTTCAAAATAGACTAAAAATTGACTTTTAATTTTTACCTATGTTGTCAAATTAACCCAAAGAGTCAAAAATACCCCCCCAAATATTTTACACCTAGTCGTTTGATTTGACCATTAGACTTGGTCTCTCTCTCTCTCAACTTTCTCTCTCTAAAGCTCACCTCCCATGGCAACCCTAGCCCCAACCCACAACTTCTTGGGAGTCCTCTTTGAATCAAAATGAATCATCAAAGCCCACTCTTGCCACTTCCTTGCCCTCACAATCCTCTTCCTCTTCCCCATCTCTTTCTCTGTCATCATCTACCCAACTTTCCAAACTACTCTCTCTCAATCCCAACCCAAACAAATCCGAATGCTTCCCTCCCACCCAACCCAAATCTCTAATTACTCTCTCCACACCCTAGCTCTCCCCCTCATCTTCATCCTCTTTGTCTCCCTATTCTCTCTCTACGCAATAAGCACAATCACCTACATCACTTACCACGACTTGTACGGTAGACTTGCCAAATTCGCCTCCGCCATCATATCCCTATTCTATTCCTTCATCACCCTCGCCATCACAACAGCCGTCTCTTAAATCGTCGTCTTTATAGTTTTTGCCTCTTTTGTGATTTTGGTGCCCAACTGGTTGAGATTCTAAGCCTTGATGTTGATTACAATTCGAATTATTTTCTGGATTTTTGTGTTGTGGTTTCAGTGATTTTGTTACTGGTATTAGTTCTTTTGCAAGTGAATTGGGCATTGGCGTGTGTGATTGTCGTGATGGAATCGAAATGGGGGTTTGAGCTCTTGTGGTGGAGCACGTATTTGATGAAGGGGATGAGACTAGTTTCGTTGTATTTGATGCTATTTTTTGGGGCTGTGATTAGGGTTGTGTGGGCTTGCTTGGGGATTTTCTTAGGCAGTTTCAGTGATGTGTGGAAGTCCTTTTCTTTTGTTCTTCAGATTGTGATGGGTTCGAGTATTGTGGCTATGTTTTTGCTTCAGAATTTGGCTTCTAATACTGTGTTGTATTGTATATGTATTGCAAGGCTTTGCATGGTGAACTGGCTGGGGATATTGCTGTAGTAGGTAGACTTTTTGGTATTTCAATCATATCTGCGATAAGAGTTGGCCTTCTACTTGCTCCGGGTGGAGAGTTTGCATTTGTGGCTTTTGGTGAAGCTGTTAATCAGGTTTTCCTCTATGAACTAAATATTTTTCTTGCAAATTTTTCTGTCTGATTTGTCCTCCCAAACACATATTAATGTCTACTAATTGAGCGTTGTTGTATAGTTGATGGTTTATGTAGCGAAGCTTTAGGCTTCGTTTGGTAGAGCTTTCTAAATATGATTTGAGAGTAGGGGTTGTATTTTGAGTTTGTGAATTTTGGAATTATGATTTGAGTGTAGAAAATTTGTTTGGTGAAAGAGTTTTGAATTGAGTGGAGAATTTTTGATGTGACATATGATATTTTATACAAAAACTTACAACTCATATTCAAATCAAAATTCTATTAAATCGCACAAATTTTTTTTAAAAATTTGGAGACTACTTTTTTGGAATATATAAAAATTAACATGTGCCAAAAAAAAAAAATTTGCACTATTTTGGTCAACCGGCCAGACGATTAGTGGGACATCCTGTGGGACGACCGGTTAGGCCAAATTTGAATTTTTTTTTTTTTGAAAATCGCGCTTGAGACAGTTTTCTGTAGAGTTTTGGAAATACAGTTTGAAAGTCATATCCAAGCATGAAGTTGGAATGTGTGGATAGAATCAATGTTTTCAAAACCGGACCGGTGAGCGAACCGGAAAAGGGACCGGGTGGACGGGTCACCGGTTCAACCGTCGGGACAAAGCGGTCGAACCGTGACGTCATAATTAATATTATATAATTAAAAAATATAATTATAAATTATAAATAAATAAAAAGTCGTTTGCTGCACAAAGATTGTTTGCATTCAAAGCATGAGATGAGCCATTAAGATTTCCCAGTTTTCTTATCTGGATTCTGAACACACCACTCAAACATGCATGCTTAGTTGAGAGGAGACTCTTAAAATAAGAATTTTTAGTCAAACTTTTGAAATATATATATATATATATATAAGAAAGAAAGAAAGAAAATAAATAAAAGAAAGAAAATAAATAAAAAAAAGGACTGGTCTGACCCTCTCGACCCGGTCCGGGTCACCGGTTTTGCCGGTTCGACCACTGAGTCACCGGTTTTTCCCAGTTTTGGCCCCACTCCTGGTTTAGGGGGTTGACCGGACCGGAACGAGGCCCGGTTCCCGGTTCAACCCGTTCGACCGGCCGGTCTGGTCCGGGTTTGAAAACATTGGATAGAATTACAGTTTGGAAATCATTCCAAACACAACCTTACTTTTTTTGTTTTGTTTTATTTATTTGTTTATTTGTTTAATTTTACTAATTCCTGGGTATTGCATTCAAGCATGTCTGTGGGCCCACATAATAAAAACTTGACTTTATTTTATTTTCAGTGAGTGAGCATTACTTAATATGAATATTTGGTTTGTAACTAGGCGAACATGAGAATCACATATAATAGGATTCATAGCTAAAAGGTGTGTGCATATTGTGGTTACAAATGCATTGGGGTTTGTGATCCATATAATAGGATTCATAGTTGGTGAGACATAAATTACTTGTTTAAATGTGCATATATGTGCATACATGTCATAGCTAAAAGGTGTGTGAATTGTATATTCACCTTAAAGTTGATACTGAAGGAAAATTCATTTTAGGACAATCTTGGAGGTTTAGGTCTCCTAAAACTTAAAATCCAAAATTTTAGGCACCCATGATTTTCCATGTGTATTATGCATCGACTAAGACTCTGTTTGGATCATGGATTTGGGTGGAGATTTGAAAACCCAAATCCATGATCTAAACACAGTCCAAGAGATGGATTTCCGTCATATGAGCTTAAAGTAAAAAATTTATATTTGTGGTTTTCCATTTGGTTGGCTTATCAAGAAGGTGCTAATGTATGAATGGATTTGATATCTCAGTTGAGTTTGTGACACATTATTATTGTTATTATTATTGCAAATCATTCTAGATAGTCTTCTACCATCTTTGAGTTTGAAAGTGAAATGCTTTCGCGTATCCTTTTAGGTTTCATAGTGGTAGCCTAAGAGACCTGGACACGAGTACGGACATGGGACATGGAATTTTTTAAAAATTAAGATACGAACGTGGGGATACGAATTATTTATTCATTTTATATATTTTTTTATTTGCTATGTATATGAATATTAAGTTAGGGCACAGAGATATGAGAAGCATCGATTTCCATATATTTACTTTGACCCCAAATCAGTTTTCTAAGAGACTTGTCTAGACGTAGGACGTGTGTCCGTGAAGTATTCTCAACATGTCTTGCAAAAAATAATAATTAATAATTTGACAAGCCATATGATGTGTTTGATACATAGACATGCCACGTGTGTAAGGGTAAGGGTTCCATATGAGAAATGCATCCAACATGTATAGTTGGACATGCACCAAACAAGGATGTCTAAATGGTTTGAGTTTACTATATCACTATGCATTAGACCTTCATTTCATTCATAACAATTTTTGGTTGCAAATACCATTCTATACTAAAAAAATTCAAAACAAACAAATGTTTAAGAAATATGAAATCTAGTCATGTTGTGGTGTCCTTGGACATGAGAATTAGATTAATCCAACACCTAGACACATGCCTGCACCTTACACCCATATCCGAGTTATCCATTATGCACTGATGATATGCCACATCATTTGTCTTTGATTAGTAGAATGCACCAGCATAAGTACTTAATACTTGCTCAAAAGTATATGAAAGTGATATAGTACTAAATTTAGGTCAGTTTAGCATTGCAAGGTCTGAAAATGATGTGGGCTTTATTTAGACAAAGTTACATAGGCCACCAAAATTGGGTGAACCTTAGGTTATTTTATGTTTAAAGGATCATAGGACTGGATTGGTGTTGAGAGTTTGATTTTGTGAATGGGAGTCTAAGCAAATCTGTGGTGGTGCATTGAATGGAAGCCAGTATTATTGACTGAAATTCATGCTATCCCTTTATTATTTTAGGTATTTTTTTTCCCCTTTTGATTCCTATTTTTCAACACACACACACATATATATGTTTTTGTGGACTTCAATACATAACAGTAGATAAATAAACTGTGTAGGATTGGTATTCCCACACTAGATAAATAAAACAAAACAATATAAATGGTAACTATTGCCATTAGTATTGCTAGCACAACTAATTGTTTGCTAATTGGCCTTTTTTGCAGGGTATAATGTCTTGTCAGATGTCGTCTTTGCTGTTTCTTGTGGTAGGGGTGTCAATTGCCCTCACCCCATGGTTAGCTGCCCGAGGCCAGTTACTAGCCTCTCGTTTTGAGCTGCATGATGTGTGGAGTTTGTTACTTGTAGACTATGAAGCACAAGTATGGACACGGACACGGACAAGCATACGGACACGGGACACGGCAATTTCTGAAAAATGGGGACACGACAAATTTTTTAATTTTTTTATAATTTTTTTTTTATTTTAACACACATTAATTATTTTATTTATTATTATATTTTTTAAATAATGTGTTCTAATTAATTTATTTTATTTTATTTTACCTATGTGTTTATTTTATTTTTTTTAATTAATATGTATAAGTATATATCATCTTATAATATGTATTATATATTTTTCCTATAGTTCAAATTATATATATATATATATATAAACCTATAAACACTCTTCAATATTAAAAGAGTCTATATATATATATAAACCTATAATTTTTTTTAAAAAAAAAGTCTTCGAAGGTTGAAAATAGTCTGTATATATATAAATCTAATTTTAAAAAAAAAAAAGTCTTTAGCTTCGTTCAGCTTCGACAAGGAGAGAGAGAGAGAGAGAGGTTTACCTTCGAAGTCGTCTAGGGTCTTCGACTATTCGATCGATTGATGGAGCTTCGATCTTCGACTGGATGGAGCTTCGACTGGAGGTCTTCGATCTTCGACTGGATCGACTGGTTCAAGGAGGTGGTGGATCGACTGGTTTAGGGCACTGATGATACTCTTCAATCGATTGATTACTCTTCAATTCAGCAACACTGATAGACTATATTAGGGCAAGTTGATTTTTTTTTAATTAATTAATTAATTTATTTATTTTTACTTTTTAAATATTACACTTGGACCCCAAATAAATATAACAAAATTAAAATTCAGCTCCGTTGTTTTCCATGCCATGTCCTGATATGGACATGCGTGTCCCCGCCATGTCCCCTACAAAAAAATTCATTAAATTAAAGGGACACGCCAAATGGCGTGTCCCGTATGTGTCCTCGTGTCCCTGCCGTGTCCGCGTGTCAGACACCGCCACGGCACCGATTTTGGAGTGTCCATGCTTCATAATTTCAAGTTTGATGATATTTGAGTAAGCGTTTATATTGGTGGTTTACAGAATTCAATTCATTTATTTATTTCCACTAGATAATAATTTGTAGTTCATTGGTACTATGTTAGTTATGGATATGATTTGTCAATCAGGATTGGCTTACTAGGTAGCTTAGCTTTTCAAACTCAGCATGGTTAGGAAAATGGAGCATAGATTTTCTAGTGATCATTCTAACTATATCATGGGAGGCGCAAATCAAAAAGAAAAAAAAAAATTGTATTTTTATTTTTATTTTTATTTTTTTGTTGCATGACTAACAAGGGGTTGGTTCAGTAGATAAGACCTTCGAATCTCTCGCTCAAGGCTGGGGTTCGAGTCTCCATAGTCCCTTGTTGGGACAAAACATACTCTTTAGCGCTGGAGCACGCGGGGGGCCTAAGCTTCAGCCCCAACGTAGGTGCAATGGAGTTCCCTGCAGATATGATGTAGGTGCTAAGGGCAATACTCCCTGGCAGATATGTTGGAGTAGCCTATCTGCATATCCATTTTTGTACCCAAAAAAAAAGAAAAAAGAAAAGAAAAAAGTATTATAAGAATTTTTATTAGTTATTACACTAGAATGTGGGGAAATATTTATGATGTGCTCTCAAAAGTCTCTTTGTCAACATCATGAAGCCTTTTTTAATGTTGAACCATGTATGTGTATGAATTTTGTTTTGATCTTAGGTTTCAATAAACTCACTGTGCTTATGCATTTGAGAAATCTTTGGTAAACACTTACTCGCTTGCATTTGGTATTTTGTGTTGATATTACTTCTCGAAGTCTTGCCATTTTGAGTTCATGCAAAAATATTTGATGATGATGGATGAAGGTGGTGAAGAACCACTGGCTGCCATAAAGTCTGCGCACTAAACTAAGTTTGGTCTTGCAATATTTGTATAAGATATGATCCGTTATTAAATCTATTCAAACTCCTGAATATAGTATGTCCAACTGTACCTAGGATCTACTAAATTTTTATTCAATAATTTTAAATCGTTTTTAATTGTTTGGTGCAGCCATACATCTGACCATGGGATGAATTGTCTGTTTTTGATATAGGGTTGATGTTGCTATTACACCGAAATATTCACTGAATGTATTGATCGTTGATTTCCTTTGGCTTGTTTCCAGACAGATGATTTGCAGGACCATATCATTATCTGTGGATTTGGCCGTGTTGGCCAGGTATTGTCACTATTTGCATTTTTTTTTTGATGAATTTGTTTTAAATCATTTGTTGTGGTGGATCTATTTTTAATGTAGTTTATTTATAGATTCGTACCCCAAAAAATAATGTAGTTCATGTATGGATGTATGTATCATGTTTTGTCTAAGAGTAGTACTTCCTTCTGTTGTTCTTTCAGATCATTGCGCAACTTCTTTCATAACAACTTATTCCATTTGTTGCTCTTGATGTGAGGAGGTATGCTTCCATCACAATGAATTGATATTCCTGGAATAAAGTCAATTTTGGGTCTGAGAGAGAGAAAGGATTGCTGATTGAATATTTTGCTGAAAATCTTAGTCATATGAGTGTGGGCTGTGTGAGTTTTCTAGTTCCTTTTGGGTAATCTATGCCAGTTTGATGACTATTTCATGTAGTTCTGTTCTGGGCGTATGCCTTCTTTGTCTTTTTATGACGTCCATTTTTTATGATAAAATCTAGTATTACTTGCCAAGGACAACATGGGGATTTCAAGTCTATGAAGTGAATATCCAGGATTATCCAGCCTTTGGTTCCATATTTTCCTATATTTACTTATATTCCCTGAATCTCTGTGAACATTTTAACATAAATGCAAATTGGCAAAAAAGAAAAGGTACCGTGTCCATGACTTACTGAGAATGTGTTAAATGGTTATGAGAATATTTTACAACAGTATCCAGATAACTGATTTTAGATTTTCCATCATTTCAGTGACTGAGTAGTAGTTGGCTGTGCACTTGATCTTCCTGTGTATTTTGGTGATGCTGGTAGTCGAGAGGGATAGATGATCCTGCTCAAACTTAAATATGCTTTGTGCAGGTTCATTGTCTGACATGCTGCTTGTATTCCTGGCCATGAGGTGCTCCATAAAGTTGGTGCTGAAAGTGCATGTGCAGCAGCAATAACTTTAGATAACCCCGGTGCAAACTATAGAACAGTGTGGGCTTTGAGCAAGTATTTCCCAAATGTCAAGACATTTGTCTGTGCTCATGACGTTGATCATGGCCTCATTTTGGAAAAGGCGGAAGCAACAGCGGTACATTTCTGTTGCTATTTTCATTAGTTATTTCACTCTTCCTAATTGCCTATATAGGTTAATCTTACAATTTTATTTTAGGATTATGTTTGAGGATCTCATTATTCTTGTTTGACTTGTGTATAAATCTTTTATCAGTACTAATATATCTTGCATTATCTATATAAAGATCAAATTTTTGTTCAAATTACATCATGTCTTGAGTTTTAGTTGAAACTCTTATAGGTTGTCCCCGAGACCTTGGAACCTAGTCTCCAACTAGCTGCTGCTGTTCTTGCACAGGTAAAAAACAGTGCATCTTATTGGATATTTTAATTTGAATTAGTGACTTGCTACGTGCTTACCTTTAAGTCTCAATTTAACTATTTGTGTACATCGTCTTCATTGTTGAGCACCTGTTTTATGTCCATGCTGGTTCTTTGATCGTAAAGTAGAAGCGGCTGTTGCTTCTCCAAAGTGTTTTGTGATTTATATGATATAATTTCACTTTCACGAGACACACACACACACAAACGCATTTGACTCAGTTAACGCATTGAAAACTGAAGGCATTTGGATCTGATCTTGTGGATCCGCCAGCTGCAATGCAGCAACTCAAACTCTTGTTATTGCTAGGGCTGCAAATGAACAGAGCTGTTCGTGAACAAGCTCGGCTCGGTAGGAGCTCGTTCGAACTTGGTTCGTTAATTTTTTTTTGCGTTTGAGCTGGTTAAATTTTTAATAAACAAGCCCAAACATTCTAAAGCTCGGCTCGTTAGCTGGTTCGTTTAATATTTATTATTTATATATTAAATAATATAAAAATATGTATAAAAAATAAGATAAATATGTTATTTATATATTTAAAAAATATAAATATAAATATAAATAATATTTAATTATAGATGGTACATTTATATAATAGTGGTAGTAGATATTATTATTTTGGTAAAATATTGACTTTTTTTTAGAATGTTTATATATATTGTATATAAAATTGTATAATCAAAGTTTTAATTGTAACTTTAGTCTCATACGCAAGTATGAATTTATAAATTTTTTGGCTCATTAAGGCTCATGACAGGCTCAAGCTCGAGTCAAGCCTAAGCTAACTTAGCTCAAGCTCGGTTCGTTAAATTTTTATTGAGCTCGAGTTTGAGTTCGTTAAAATCTTAATAAACAAGCCTAAACATACTAAAGCTCGGCTTGGCTCGGCTCGATTGCAGCCCTAGTTACTACTGTTGGTTGATGCTTGCTTGTGAAATTGTTAGCATGTGCTATGGAAAGTCAAAAACATTACAGAAGTTTGGTTATTTTGGTTTGGCATCTTTCGAATGTTCTTACTTTATCTTGTTTTTCCTTGTTAGGCTAAACTGCCCATGTCAGAAATAAAAGCTATTATCAACAAGTTTAGGTCCCACCATCTTTCTGAGCTTACCGAGGTACTTATTAATGTTTGGTTTTCGTAATTCGGTTAGTCTTGTTAGTTTTGATCATGCTGGATTTTGACTGAGGTACCACAATCAAATATTGCATGTAGCTCTTTGAAGCAAGTGGAGGCTCTCTCGGTTATGGATACTCTCGGATCATGAGTAAACCCAAATCTCAACCCTTTGATTCTTCAGATGATAATCAAATCACTGAAGGAACACTGGTAATATAACCCATCACTCGAAGATAAGAACTGACATAATAATATTAAAAAACAGATCACAAAGAACTGTACAGCGGTTTACTTGAACCCTTTGGTATAAATTGTATAGAAATATAGTTGAATTAGTGGCAGTAGCAAACACATTTGTTGATTAGTCACATGGACATTTTTGTTCTAATAATGCCCCCTGCGTGAAAGGGGCGGCTGTTCTTTTTCTTTCTTCAATTGTATTTTGATCTGATAAATTTTGGTAGGCCCTCGTAAAACTGTCTAAAAGGACTTTCTTATCTCACTAATCACATTGCATTCCATAATCTTACAGTACTTTCTTAGCTGTTAGTTTTGATCATGTTGTATAATGCAAATGGTCAAAATGATATGATGCTACATATAGAGAAACTGTTTTTGTGAGAATGTGTAGATTTATGGATTGGTTGATTGCATTGGATGTTCATCAGCAAGAACTTATTGCATGTTTGGATTCCTTTTTGTTTGTCTATTGTATTAATAATTGCTTGTTTGGATAATTTCAATTTTAGTTATGTTGCGGTGACTAAATTTTAGATTATTTGTGTTACTAATGTATTTGTTATAAGACATCAAAGGTGAGATTTATTAATTCAGTACATTGATGACACATCAATTAGTTGAAGATGCCCACTGATAATGTGGAGATTTGAGTTTCCTCCTCCCAATTGTAGCTATAACAAAATTTGATATTCTTACTTGAAATTATTTTTTAATACAACTAAATGAGTAGTGGGCCAAAATATATTTTCCAAAACAATATGTTTAACCTAAAAAAAATCATATATAAATATTTTTCTCAAAAAAAGTCCAAAGGAAATATATATATATAATCAATCCTCTTTCATGAAATCACTTCTTTCAGATAAATCTTATTTTTAAGAGGATTAAATAAATCTTAAATTTTCAAATTTAAAAATTATGAGAAAGACGAAAAAGTAAGGCATATAGTTTTTTGTCTTTGAAACCTATTCCGGCCCAAATTTGTTGGTCTTTTACCCAAACTATGCCCAAATCTTGAACACCTAAGAAAAAATGAATTAATTTAAATAAATTTTTTTTTTTAAGGTTTTACGTATTTTTTATTTTGAAACCCAGTATTTCAATTTAGACAAGTTAAAGTTCAGAGTTTCATTTGTGTCTCAACGTGCTTCTTCTGTTCATCTTTGTCTGTGTAAAGTAACGAAAAATTGTTTTGCAGCTTAAAGTGAAAAATGCGGGAAATTTTGAAGTTTTTTTGTAATTAACCCTTATATATATATATATATTTTTTTTTTGTGTGCGTGTGTATATATATAATTTACGTATCTTATTGTATATGTACAAGGATACTTGTATATATGATAAAAAAAATTTATTCAAATTTTGACTCTTCTGATGATACTCTCTCCATCCTATTTTATTGGTCCATTATTACATTTTTTGTTGTCTCAAAATGTATGTCCACTTTGAAAGTCAAAATTTAAAATTTAAATTTTTTTAAAATTATCCCTTGTAAAGTAATTATTAATATATTTTAAAAAATAATATTTGAAAGTTCTAATACAGCTCTAATGATGTGAAAAGTGCTCAAGTGATGTGAAAAGTGCTCAAGGAGCTTTAATCCTTAATCCATTAAAACATTAATCCATTAAAGTATTAATAAGAATAACATTTGAATTTTGAATTTATCCCTACTTTTGATGACTAAGAATGACATTAATCCATTAAAGTATTAATAAGTGTCTCTTACATATCAGGTAGCTTTAATCCTTAATCCATTAAAACATTGGTAAGTGTTTCTTACATTTCAAGTAATCCATCTTACGTAGTATAGACGAAATCAAAATTTTATCATTAGAAAAGTCAAAATTTGAATAATTTTTTTTATCATATATATATATATATAAGCACACATGTACATATATAATAAGATATGTAAGTTAATATACACACAAAAAGAAATTAATTATACTCATATAGGGACAGGAATTGAGTCTCATATATTAATTTTTAAATAAATTAATAATTGATATGTAATAACTCACATTATTATAAAATTAATGATATAAAATGTACGTTGTGGTGAAAAAATATAGACACTTATATTTCTAAGCAAACAAGTTATGGATTCTAGTAAGATTCACATAAACATGCATAAATTTGGCACGATTTCAGAGAATAACGCAAGTGGTGGAAGAAAATATTGCCCAATCAACTTTAATAACGGCTCTCGTGCCTTAACAATGGTGGAAATTTTGTTCGGCCAAGCCTAACCAGACACATATTTAAGAGTAATATTTTCTTAAAAATTAAGCATTTTCTGTGATATTTGTGGGTTTTATATATAAAAAAATGTTTTTTTTTTTTGGTTTCTTAAAATGAAAGTGTAATAAAAAAAAATGTTCATTCCTTGTTACCTTATGAAATAATAACTTTTCATTTGCTATTGGATGAATGCCTTTAAAAAGTAAAAAATAAAAGTTAGTGATTCAAACGTGAAAATAAACAATCTAATAGAATTATCATTCGATTCCACATTCATTCAAATAAATCAAATATTACATTAGAAAAAAATTTAAGTTCACGTAATTTGGTCACAAAATTATACACAACTCTGTCATATGAAGTAAATCAACCAAGAATTTAGATTTGCTAAAATTGATGATCCTGTGAAATTGGTGCATTGTAAGACCAATCGGGATGTCTATATTAGTGATTCAAACCGTTTATCTCATGTGACAAGCTAATGCAAAAAATTAAGTTAATCATATACAAGTAATCATATGATCAAATAACATCTAAACCGTTCAAATTGACAATGTATTATTAAGATTTTCAACTTTAACAAATCCAAACTCACCCACCAAATGTATCAAAACGTCATTAGAGAGAATTGTGTCAGATTTTGAATAAAATTATATAATCTAAAATGAGCTTTTTTGCAAGGCCATTATTTCTGTAACTCAAACATGGATACAATAAAATTGTATACAAAACCAGAATAAATAAAATAAAATTATATAGGTCTACAATGACATGGATGTGCCTAATTCAATTGTAACTGCAAAGATGCATTACAGCAATAACTACACTAATATATCATCCTTCCAACCAGAATTTTAGTAACCCAGGAAACTGTGATTATGATACATATAGTAGTTGGCCATAAATATGAAGAAACTCACATGACAACTGCAGTAGCACCTCAATGTACAAGGTTAAACTGCAATATTCTCATGCCAAAATGGCCGCAACAATCAAGATGTGAACTGTAAGTCAATTTACCTTCTAACAGATGAAAACTCGGCCAACTTCACAACATTTTTGTACACTAGCCTAATCTCCATCCACCACTTCAACCAGCCTGCAACGAAATTAGGTGGTGTTTCCTCTTTCCTGGACTGAAATTTTGCTCCATTCCCATTCAGTTCAAGCTGACTCAGTTGCTCAGTGAAGCTGCATTGTTTTATTATACCATCCAGTTCTGATGGAGGCAAACCATAATCACTCATGCTTGTTTGATAAGTTCCTCCTTACCATTAAGCAAATCGTGGAAGTTGAATTTACCACAACCAAAGTCGTTATAATCGCTCTTACTTGATTCTACTGTTTGGGCTCATCATGTTTGGTTCCATTTTTTTGAATTATTTTTCCAAAAAGTGAGTTGAAAACTCTATTTTGAAAAAGAATCTTTGCTTGGTTTTAAAAAAAATGCATTATTGCATATTCAAGTTTCCCTCCAATTTAAGGAGAGAAATAATTTTTTTTTTAAAAAAAAATTGTCACATCAAAAAATACTCCCATGTTAGTTTTCAAAAAACTTTGTCTGGTTTTCAAAATAACCAAACAAAAACTCCAAAATTTTCAAAAAAATGAATTAGTTTTTTTTTTTCTTTTTAAAAACAATTTGTTGTTTACTATGTTTTTTGTGTTTTTTCAGATCGGTTGAACATCGACGATTTAGAGGTTGAGGATGAGGTCAGACCCGAATTCCCATGTCCTTACTGTTACGAGGACTATGATATTGTGTCTCTGTGCTCTCATCTCGAAGATGAGCACTCTTGCGAGTCCAAAGTCGCCGTGAGTTTCTCTTTAGATTGATATATATATATATATATATATATAAGCACACATGTACATATATAATAAGATATGTAAGTTAATATACACACACAAAAAGAAATTAATTATACTCATATAGGGACAGGAATTGAGTCTCATATATTAATTTTTAAATAAATTAATAATTGATATGTAATAACTCACATTATTATAAAATTAATGATATAAAATGTACGTTGTGGTGAAAAAATATAGACACTTATATTTCTAAGCAAACAAGTTATAGATTCTAGTAAGACTCACATAAACATGCATAAATTTGGCGCGATTTCAGAGAATAACGCAAGTGGTGGAAGAAAATATTGCCCAATCAACTTTAATAACAACGGCTCTCGTGCCTTAACAATGGTGGAAATTTTGTTCGGCCAAGCCTAACCAGACACACATTTAAGAGTAATATTTTCTTAAAAATTAAGCATTTTCTGTGATATTTGTGGGTTTTATATATAAAAAATGCTTTTTTTTTTGGTTTCTTGAAATGAAAGTGTAACAAAAAAAAAATGCTCATTCCTTGTTACCTAATGAAATAATAACTTTTCATTTGCTATTGGATGAATGCTTTTAAAAAGTAAAAAATAAAAGTTAGTGATTCAAAAGTGAAAATAAACAATCTAATAGAATTATCATTCGATTCCACATTCATTCAAATAAATCAAATATTACATTAGAAAAAAATTTAAGTTCACGTAATTTGGTCACAAAATTATACACAACTCTGTCATATGAAGTAAATCAACCAAGAATTTAGATTTGCTAAAATTGATGATCCTGTGAAATTGGTGCATTGTAAGACCAATCGGGATGTCTATATTAGTGATTCAAACCGTTTATCTCATGTGACAAGCTAATGCAAAAAATTAAGTTAATCATATACAAGTAATCATATGATCAAATAACATCTAAACCGTTCAAATTGACAATGTATTATTAAGATTTTCAACTTTAACAAATCCAAACTCACCCACCAAATGTATCAAAACGTCATTAGAGAGAATTGTGTCAGATTTTGAATAAAATTATATAATCTAAAATGAGCTTTTTTGCAAGGCCATTATTTCTGTAACTCAAACATGGATACAATAAAATTGTATACAAAACCAGAATAAATAAAATAAAATTATATAGGTCTACAATGACATGGATGTGCCTAATTCAATTGTAACTGCAAAGATGCATTACCGCAATAACTACACTAATATATCATCCTTCCAACCAGAATTTTAGTAACCCAGGAAATTGTGATTATGATACATATAGTAGTTGGCCATAAATATGAAGAAACTCACATGACAACTGCAGTAGCACCTCAATGTACAAGGTTAAACTGCAACATTCTCATGCCAAAATGCCTACAATTTAAGGAGAGAAATAAATTTTTTTTAAAAAAAAAATTGTCACATCAAAAAATACTCCCATGTTAGTTTTCAAAAAACTTTGTCTGGTTTTCAAAATAACCAAACAAAAACTCCAAAATTTTCAAAAAAATGAATTAGAAAATAGGAACCAAACACAATGATTGATTTCTCCGTGATCTGTTTGGCTCAGACCTTGAATACCTGGATTATTTTCTCTCAGCCTGGTTGACCAGTTCTGCTAAGGCGATTGAAGGGTGTCTACCATTCCCATGAGAATCAATCTGTCCAATTTCTATGGATTGAATTGCTTTGGCTATGAGATTCCTAGTTTCAATGAGGGAAGCTTGAGCGAGAGGGCTCTTTGTTGCAGCTGCCTCAAGAGCCTTTGTAGCCTTTTCAGCTTCAGCTTTCAATAACCTGTAAAATGTTATAAATCTATGAATAGAATCCTCAGATAAATTATAGCTAAACCAGCCTAACATATCAACGGGCACTCGACGTCAATTGAGAGAGGGGGGTGTTTGCAATTCATTTCTGACTTCTGCACTTCTGCATATGATGTGTAGTGACAGATGTACAGGGGCCTCTGAAATTTTCCTCCTTTGCTCAAGAGAATTGGGTGCTCTCTTGCTACCTTTCGGTCTTGCCATTTTTCTACTTTGTTCAACACTCTCCAACCATTCTTGCTCGAGCTGTTCATCCAAGATCTCATAGGAGTCCCACTGCTTCTCTTCCTCACCAACAAATCCCTTTCTAGAAGCTTCTGCTATCAAATTCTGCCACTCAAAGTAGCAAGTTTCAGCCCATTTGGCAGAAATGGCCTCTGAAATTTTCCTCCTTTGCTCAAGAGAATTGGGTGCTCTCTTGCTACCTTTCGGTCTTGCCATTTTTCTACTTTGTTCAACACTCTCCAACCATTCTTGCTCGAGCTGTTCATCCAAGATCTCATAGGAGTCCCACTGCTTCTCTTCCTCACCAACAAATCCCTTTCTAGAAGCTTCTGCTATCAAATTCTGCCACTCAAAGTAGCAAGTTTCAGCCCATTTGGCAGAAATGGCCTCTGAAATTTTCCTCCTTTGCTCAAGAGAATTGGGTGCTCTCTTGCTACCTTTCGGTCTTGCCATTTTTCTACTTTGTTCAACACTCTCCAACCATTCTTGCTCGAGCTGTTCATCCAAGATCTCATAGGAGTCCCACTGCTTCTCTTCCTCACCAACAAATCCCTTTCTAGAAGCTTCTGCTATCAAATTCTGCCACTCAAAGTAGCAAGTTTCAGCCCATTTGGCAGAAATGGCCTCTGAAATTTTCCTCCTTTGCTCAAGAGAATTGGGTGCTCTCTTGCTACCTTTCGGTCTTGCCATTTTTCTACTTTGTTCAACACTCTCCAACCATTCTTGCTCGAGCTGTTCATCCAAGATCTCATAGGAGTCCCACTGCTTCTCTTCCTCACCAACAAATCCCTTTCTAGAAGCTTCTGCTATCAAATTCTGCCACTCAAAGTAGCAAGTTTCAGCCCATTTGGCAGAAATGGCCTCTGAAATTTTCCTCCTTTGCTCAAGAGAATTGGGTGCTCTCTTGCTACCTTTCGGTCTTGCCATTTTTCTACTTTGTTCAACACTCTCCAACCATTCTTGCTCGAGCTGTTCATCCAAGATCTCATAGGAGTCCCACTGCTTCTCTTCCTCACCAACAAATCCCTTTCTAGAAGCTTCTGCTATCAAATTCTGCCACTCAAAGTAGCAAGTTTCAGCCCATTTGGCAGAAATGGCCTCTGAAATTTTCCTCCTTTGCTCAAGAGAATTGGGTGCTCTCTTGCTACCTTTCGGTCTTGCCATTTTTCTACTTTGTTCAACACTCTCCAACCATTCTTGCTCGAGCTGTTCATCCAAGATCTCATAGGAGTCCCACTGCTTCTCTTCCTCACCAACAAATCCCTTTCTAGAAGCTTCTGCTATCAAATTCTGCCACTCAAAGTAGCAAGTTTCAGCCCATTTGGCAGAAATGGCCTCTGAAATTTTCCTCCTTTGCTCAAGAGAATTGGGTGCTCTCTTGCTACCTTTCGGTCTTGCCATTTTTCTACTTTGTTCAACACTCTCCAACCATTCTTGCTCGAGCTGTTCATCCAAGATCTCATAGGAGTCCCACTGCTTCTCTTCCTCACCAACAAATCCCTTTCTAGAAGCTTCTGCTATCAAATTCTGCCACTCAAAGTAGCAAGTTTCAGCCCATTTGGCAGAAATGGCCTCTGAAATTTTCCTCCTTTGCTCAAGAGAATTGGGTGCTCTCTTGCTACCTTTCGGTCTTGCCATTTTTCTACTTTGTTCAACACTCTCCAACCATTCTTGCTCGAGCTGTTCATCCAAGATCTCATAGGAGTCCCACTGCTTCTCTTCCTCACCAACAAATCCCTTTCTAGAAGCTTCTGCTATCAAATTCTGCCACTCAAAGTAGCAAGTTTCAGCCCATTTGGCAGAAATGGCCTCTGAAATTTTCCTCCTTTGCTCAAGAGAATTGGGTGCTCTCTTGCTACCTTTCGGTCTTGCCATTTTTCTACTTTGTTCAACACTCTCCAACCATTCTTGCTCGAGCTGTTCATCCAAGATCTCATAGGAGTCCCACTGCTTCTCTTCCTCACCAACAAATCCCTTTCTAGAAGCTTCTGCTATCAAATTCTGCCACTCAAAGTAGCAAGTTTCAGCCCATTTGGCAGAAATGGCCTCTGAAATTTTCCTCCTTTGCTCAAGAGAATTGGGTGCTCTCTTGCTACCTTTCGGTCTTGCCATTTTTCTACTTTGTTCAACACTCTCCAACCATTCTTGCTCGAGCTGTTCATCCAAGATCTCATAGGAGTCCCACTGCTTCTCTTCCTCACCAACAAATCCCTTTCTAGAAGCTTCTGCTATCAAATTCTGCCACTCAAAGTAGCAAGTTTCCTGCAGCTTCAGTTTTTCACGGCGCCTTTCCCACCCCATTCGCACTCCATTGCCAATTTTCATCCTTGTTTCTTCGCTGCACAATCAATAAAGAACATGGTAAATAAAGTGATTAAAGCAGTATGTGGAAAATTACAAACTGAAGGTCAAAAACTCAAAACTCCTGTTAGACTTAAAGAAGGCCCTAGTACAAATCCATGGTAATGCCAAGCATCTAATTCACTGAATCTTCTCAATTTCCAAAATCTCATATTTGAAGAAGAAAACAGACTAATATTAACAGTAAACAAGGCACAAATTATTACAAAATGAAGGAGGAAAAAATTAAAATAGTTTAGTCTTTTTCTGGCTTCAGCCTCCAAGAACCAACAAAAGAGAAAAACAAATATCAATTAACTGAACCCAATTGACTGAACCCATCTAAGATTCAATCTAAAAGACCAAAACATCAATTAACAAGACAAGCAGAATATCCAGGATTTTTTTGTTAGTGAATATCCAGAAAGTTTATGAATAACCAAGTACTTGTAAATTCGATGATAGAAAGAAAAATAGCAGAACCAAAAATCGAAATAACAAGACGGAATGTCATGAGATTCTACCTCTGAGCATGTCCCAGCTTAACTAACTTCATCTTAACCTGCATAGGCTGTGTTAGTGAGATCTGCTACAAAGAATTTACATTAACAGGTTCAGTGCTGGCAGGGAAGGTACAAGAGAAAAGCAAATAGTTTTAAGAATTCATGAGAAATGTTTAACAGAAATTGAACCCCTATGACACCCAAGGGGTTCAATTTCTATTAAACATTTCTCATGAATTATTGAACCCAACAACTTCAGATCAACTGAGGCTATTTGTGTTTCTCAATTATTTCGTCCATGAATTACTTAGAAACCGGACCAAGACATTTAGGCACTTGCCCTTGTTAGTTCTTCAGGTCTGTGAGAGGTATGCATTTCATTTGCATTGCTTGTGTCAAAAAAAGAAGAAAAAAAAATTCGATCAATTAATCCAATCACCGTTAACATATAGGTCGAGAGATGACCTTATTTTTTGCTTGGAGATACACTTTATTTGCCTCCTTGGCATTTGTCTTCTCTTCTAGCTTCTGAAAGAACTGAAACAACAAATGATAAAAAGACAGTAAAAAACATCAGCATAACAATAAATGAGTAAAACTGCAAATATATATGGAGTGAATGGATCTGGACTTGCCTCTTTACGTTTTGCCGCTCTTTCTTCACACCTCAAGCTAAAAGAGGAGGGTACTGTCGGAGGTTGTGCTTTGGGTCCAGATACACCTGAAGTCTTCAAATGGCTGCATAGTGTTAAATAAAATTTAGAATTCTTGCATAACATTGTTAGAGTAATTGTGTTGCACGAAATTTTGTCTAGGTTTTCTCACATGTGCTAAGGAAAAGTGATACTTAAATTGCAAAATTGGTTCCTATAAACTGTAATGGTATCACTGGCATAGATGGTATTGAAATATGTATTTAATATGAAATAAATTAGGTATGAATAGTAACAAACAGAAGGCAGCATTACAGAAAGTGTAAGAGATGCTACTTCATTTTGGAAAGATAGTTTGTGGGTTCGACCATGAGAGTAGCCACTTTGTGTAAATAATGCCAAATGTTAGGTTTGTATCCAATCTACCCCTAATAGACCCCAATCCTATGGGCGCTAAACTGGAAGTACTTTATTATTATTATTATTATTACATTTTTTAGTTTGCATCCACGCCTTATCTATCCCTGGTGCCAGAAACACAATACTAGCAAGACTTTTGGAACTTTCTTGGAGCTATTGTTCCTAGTATGCAATACAAAATCTCTACACTCAGTAGATAGCGATATGAGCATCTAATGAGAACTCTACAATCCACAACATAGGCAAAATAAGATCTTACTCTATCCCATGTGATTTCCCATCTGCTATCCTCCTTCCAGAAACTAAGATCTTGGCATTTGTCTTCTCTTCTAGCTTTTGAAAGAACTGAAACAGTAAATGATAAAAAGATAGCAAAAAACATCAGCATAACAATAAATGAGTAAAACTGCAGATATACATGGAGTGAATGGATCTGGACTTGCCTCTTTACGTTTTGCCGCTCTATCTTCACACCTCAAGCTAAAAGGGGAGGGTACTGTGGGACGTCGTGCTTTGGGTCCAGATACACCTGAGGTCTTCAAATGGCTGCATAGTGTTAAATAAAATTTAGAATTATTGCATAACATCGTTAGAGTAATTGTGTTGCACGACATTTTGTTTAGGTTTCTCACATGTGATAAGGAAGAGTGATACTTGAATTGCAAAATTGGTTCCTATAAACTGTAATGGTATAACTGGCAAGGATGGTATTGACATATGTATTTAATATGAAATAAATTAGGCATGAGTAGTAACAAACAGAAGGCAGCATAACAGAAAGTGCAAGGGAAGCTACTTCATTTTGGATAGATAGTTTGTGGGTTCAACCATGAGAGTAACCACTTTGTGCAAATAATGCCAAAGTTAGGCTTGTATCCAATCTATGCCTCCTAGACCCCAATCCTATGGGCGCTAAACTGGGAGTACTTTTTTATTATTACTATTATTATTACTTTTTTTAGGTTGCATCCACGTCTTATCAATACCTTGTGCCAGAAACACAATACTAGCAGGACTTTTGGAACTTTCTTGGAGCTATTGTTCCTAGTATGCAATACAAAATCTTTACACTCAGTAGATAGTGATATGAGCATCTAATCAAAACTCTACAATCCACAACATAGACAAACTAAGATCTTACTCTATCCCATGTGATTTCCCATCTGCTATCCTCCTTCTAGAAACTGAGCAATCATCCACTGGTTTACTTCTGTAAACCATGAAATTAAACATTTTAGTGAAAGAAGACGAATATACATACACGTAGAAAAATGGCACAATTTTAAAGGGTTAAGCAAACAAACAACCTTCTTCTTTCTTCTTGAGGAGCTGTTGAAGAATGCACTGATAACCCATTTGCTGATGCCTGCAGTTTACCAAAAACCAAAAACGTTATCTCAGCTATGTGTTACAGTGTGCACTAGCACGCTATTGCACATGCACAAAGCAGCAAACAAGGTGAATGAGGTGAAGGCAAGGAAGTAAAGTAAGCACCCTAGTTGGAATTCGTGGAGGATTTGAGCTGTCTCTGGATGTCTCTTCCATAACATTTGGTTCATTACACGCTGCATTTTGCTCCTCAAGCAATGCTACAGGTTTCTTAGCACCATTTCTGTTGTGAAGGGCTTCGAAATAAGCTTTCCTCTGGGCAACTAAACCTGGCTTAGAAGATTTCTTAGCTTCTTCCAAGTACTGATTGTTAGAGAAACACGACCATTTTTCACACGCCAATGATTCCAGCATGAACCTCCGAAACGAGATTGATGTTGTCAGGGCACAATAAGGATCTCCCTGTAATGAGATTCTTTCATGTGTTTCTTAGTAAAATCATCAAAGCTTACACATGTATCCACTAATATATTTTAAATAGAATTGCAAAGACACACATACCCAACTCCAAATATAATCAACTTCAAGAACACATGTGATAGAAACATTTTAACAAGGTACCCTATTATTTTGTGATTCTAATAAAACATGGGCAAATTATACCAGTTGTGTCTATAATTTGACTCTTTAATCAATTTAGTCATTGTAGTTCCCATTATATTAATTTTACCTCTTAACCTTTCACATTGTGTAAATTTAGTTCAATTGATAAACATCTGCTAAGAAATTAGACAAAAATCAAAGAGAAAATGGAACATTTAAAAAGGGAATTAATCATTTTAATCCATCAATCACTTTGAAATAGACTATTTTGCCCTTTGATTTCAGTTCAATTTCTAAATGGGCATTATCAATTACACTAAACTGACACAAAATGTGAAGAATTCAAGGATAGAATTGATCAAATTAGAACTATCTATAAGAACGAAATTGACACAAGAAACAAACTACAAGACTACGGGCGTAATTTGCTGTAACAACATTGACTAAGCATTACATGAAATTCCCATGCAATTGGTTGATGATTGCAGTTATTAGTAAAGAAAGGAGCACAAGAATCAGAAGAAGAAGAAGAAGAAGAAGAAGAAGAAGAAGAAGAAACTATAACTAGCAAAAGGGACAAATCAAGAACTCAAATGAAAAACCAAATACTGAGAACAGTAACAAATCAAGTATTGTCAAAATAATATTAAAACAACGACAAAGAAATAGCAATCCCATGTCAGAAAAATCAAAACCCACTAGGGTTTTCTGTGAAAATGAAGAAGATTGTGTTTTTTGGACAAACCTCTTCGGGTTCAGTGGAAGTAGTGCCAGCAGGTTGAGAGAAGGATCGAACAAGACAAGTTGGCGATTCACCCATTTCTGTCTTTGCAGTGAAGAGAGAGAAACTCAAAGAAACCCAAAGAAACCTACCCTATGATTCCCTGAATCCTCTTTCTTTCTCTCTGTATCTTCTTCGTATAGGGTCTTCTTTTTTTTGATTCTCTTATGGGGTCTTCTTTGCTCTTCTAAATCTTGGAATCTCCGAGAATGCAGTTCATTCACTTTGTTAATATATTCCATATTTAGATTATAGGCTCCTAACAGGTATGTTCAAACCCTGCCTTCTTCTCTCCCTCGCTTATTCTTTCCTTTTCTTGTTCTTTTCCTTGTTCAAACCTTGCCTTATTCTCTCCTTACCTTGTTCTTTCCTCTTCTTCCTTGCACAGCAGTCCTCATAGCCTAGTGTCACTAGTTTGCCTTCACATTCACGATGGTTTTATTTTAAAAGAGAGGTCAATGGATTAATAATTTAAAAGTTGGGGGAGGAGTTGGTGAAAACATTTTTTTGCATTGCATACTTATTGATTTTTTTGTTTATTAATTACCCTTAAATTAATTTGATTTTGATATATTTTCTTTAAATTAGGATTTGTGAGAATTTATTTGATCTGTTTCAACTTAATTTTAAAATTCTTAAAATTTTGTTTGGAGATTTGAGTTTAGAATGCAAAGAAACCAAATAATTCTTCTTGGATGGGATTTTTAATTTATGTTACAATCTCAAATTGGTTAACATAGGCTTTGCCAATGTCCATAGAGGAAAATTATATAATAGTCCTAAAGTATCACGTAACTATATTCCTTTACCAATCATCATTTATTATATTCCTTTATATTCTTCAATTATCCAATACAAATAATCAATATTCTACCTTTTCTACTAATTATACTACCATAATACAAATAATTAATATTCCACCTTTTCTACCAATTATACTACCATGAAACACCACGTGACCGTATTTCCGGACTACCGAATTATCACCCGTGCATATAAGACCTCGTTTGTGAATATTTTATTTTTGTAATTTTTGATTTTTTTTTTGGGCTAAAATATGAGGTAAAAAAATTGATATACTTATGATATTTTTTTACTTTAGAAAAAAAGAATATTTAACTTTTTTTAAAATTTATTAATCTTTTAATAACTTTTTAACTTAAACTAAAATAAACACTTTCCAAACGAAAACGAGACCTAAGCTCTTAAACATTCTCCCCTTACAAGTCAGTTTTGAGTTTGAATTTTACACGAGATTCATATCATTCTAGTTAAAATTTTATTTTGGGTGTTCCATGGCTTTTTAGTTGGATTGCAAAAAAATTAATTTTAACTTGAATTAATTTCTGATCTGAGAAAAACTTGGATTAATTTTTGAAAGGATTATTTACTTATAAATATAGCACAACTCTCTTATTTAAAATAAACTTATCTATTTTTCAATTGGATCTATTTTTTATATTCTTTTTAGACTTTCAATCCTTACATAGTTGTTGGCTTTTTTGACTTTCGAAGGTAACTTTTGTAATTATGAGCATGCCAGCAATGATCAATCAGTCCTTACAGAAAATTAATTGCCAACCAATTATCAGACGATTGTGTTTTAGTTCTTTCAACATCAATGAAAAAGACTTTTACTGGTGGCTTGATTTAGGAGAATTAAGCAAATAACAATTAAATGAAGAACAATTGAAGCATTTCATTAAAATGAAAATTTACAAAGATCCAAACTCAGCCTCGTAGAGGTTTACAGCAACAATCTACTTGAAACTACTCCTATGAATGAAGTGTAGTACAGGAATTTTAAAGTGCAGAAATGTAAAGAACATGAAATGTAAAACTGGAAAGGAAATAAAGTAGAATACGACTGGTTTTTTGGATCTGAGTCTGGGGTTTTTCTGGAGCCTTCTCTGCTATTTATACTTCTCAAGGATGACTATCGAACTGCATTTCCAACCGTCGAACTGCTCCTCCATGATCGCTGATCATGTTGCCTTATAATTAGCTCTACTATGCCATCACTTGCAGTTAGGCTTCCCTCATAATTTGGAATTTGAATGTGAGTAACCGTTAAAGCCACATCATTCTGCATCTCTTTGCTGATCCAATGCTACTCAGATCTCGTAATAACCAATGCTAACTGCCACGTGTACGATTATGATTGAAGACTTGAATAGTCTTCCTGTATTACCCTTATTCTGCCATGCGTCGAATTGTAATTGGCTTATACAAAATATGTAGCCAACATTACTCCCCGCACTAATATACCCAATACTTGGTGATATTAGTGGATCAAGGTCTTTTATCCACGTCTTAGAACGTGCATGGGCTTTGCATTCTTCTAGAAATGCAACTGTCATTCATCATTTGCATTAAACTCTCCTTCAATCTTTTGAACACCCCCACCACCTTAGTATTCGAACAGACTGATACATTTTTTATGGCCGAATCAATTTTCTCCTCCATTGATCGAGCACACGAAGAGTCATCTGATGATGTTGTTCCTCCTCAAAAGAACCTCCATGCATTAATTAGCTACCTTTACCCACATTTCTATATTTAAGTCATGGAAGCCTTTGCAAACTATCAACCCTTGGACTACGAACACATTGCCCTTAATCCTTTGATTCAGAAAGTTACAAATATGGACATGGGAAGTTCTTCTTCTGATTCACCCTCGGACTACGAACAAACTGCCCTCAATCCTTTGATTCAGAAAGTTGCAAATATGGACATGAGAAGTTCTTCTTCACAATCCTCTGCATGGGATAAGGCTATGGCTTCTTCTTCCTCTGGGGCTTCTGACTGGGCAAGCTGGTCGGAACCTGAGGCCTGTGATTTAAGAGAGCGAATTAACCATCACTTTGTCGAGTTCACTGATCCTTTAGAGTTCCCTTCCTATGCGCGAAGCTCGGTGGTTTACCCTTACGTGCCCATCGACCAATGACGCAGTTTGGAGGACAATCTGCTTGTAGCATAGTACACATCCCCCATGCCTACAAAGATAGTGCACGCTACCCGATGCCCAAAAGAGGCACAAGGGTACAATCCATCGTTCTTAGCCCAGAAGGTGAAGCTTTGCTCTTCTGACTGGCTCGATTATATTAATGCCCTTGTTTCTTCTGCCCTTGCTCCTTCTCCTGAAGTGGAAGGTTCCATACCTCCTCCTCTGCCAAATCCTTGCTAGACAGAGAGACTGAGGCTTGCCCTCTCTGCGAATAAGGTCTTTCCTCCTTACAAGCCTCCACCTTCCCCTACTCTAGCTGAGCGGAATCAAGCCCAACTTCTGCTTGCGGCCTTCTCTCACTTGCCTTTCAATGTTCTTGAGGACGACATCCCTCTCAAGAACCTTCGATGGGCTTGTGACATTCTGACTCGGGGTCACGTCCTCAACCCCCTCGCCCAAGCAGAGCTTCACATGTTTTTGGACCAACTCCCATTGTTTCTTCACTGGTATCGAACTTCTGTGGCCACCACTCAATCCTTGGACCAACTCTCATCCCTTTGAGTTCATGCCCAGTACGAAGCAGTGAACCTCATTGAAGGATTCGATAACTTCAAGAATAAAGATTCTGTGTACTGGGATGACTTGGATATGGACGAGCTGGAACAGGGATTGAAAGAAACATCGTTTGAAATAAAAGGCTGAAGAGCTCTTTTATCAAGTGAGAGCACATCAACTTCAGCAGCCAATTTTGGAAGAAATAGAGGATAGAATAAAGAAAGAACAGAAATTCATTGACCATAGCTGGACCAAATTCCATGATCTTGTTATTTATTCTATTCTTTACTTTTATGAGCTCGAATTTGTACCCAAAGAGGGCCATTCGATGTAATTGTTTTTGCTTTAATACAACTAAGTTATTTGGCATTGTCTGATTTTGTCTCCGTTTGTCTTTAAAAGCAAATTTAGGGCTTCAAACTGAACAATCTTATCCTTCGAATCCAGATTCAATCATTTTAAATGAAACACTAAAAAACCAACATGAACTTTTCCAATTTATGGATTATAGTTGACAGTTTTTGCTGATTTTTATTTAGAATCAGTGCTTCGAATTTAATAATGTTGCCCCTTAAAGCTTGTTTTAATCATAACCAAAATATGGTCATGGTTAATATGATCAATCAGTTTAAATTGACCATTTTTGTTTCGAACAACAGTCCATACTTTCAAAAATATGGAAGCCTTTTTTGATGGCTGCACTGTTTTAGTTTGAAAAGACAATCCTTTCGGTATATATAAACCAACTATTGGTTTTGATGTTTCGAACACCAATTCCCATCCTTAACGGGTATCAAGTTTTACTTCAAAGGACATTACTCTCATTAAAAAGCCTAAAACAGGTTTTTAATCCCTTTGAAGTAAACAAATACTTGTGCATTCATACATCTTTAGGTATGGAATGTGCTTCGAAAGCGGCTTCTCAGTTTCGAAGCCACTGTTATTTGACTTTTGGCACCAAAATCTTGTTTCGAAGCCAAATATTTTATTCCGAAGCTGACATCAACATCTGGGATGTGTTTTTCCCTCCAAAAGTATCAATATTGAAGGAAACTCTTCGTATCTGTACCTTTAGTATTTTACGAATTACACAATATATTTTCGAGACACAAAGGTTCTTTAAAACCCTTTTATTTCGTGTTCTGAAATCACTCGCTCGCTTAACACATAAACCCTTCTCCTCTATTAACTCTCTCTTCCTCGCTACTTGCTACCAATGGATTCTTCTTCTCTGAAAGTACTTGTTGGCGATCGTATAAGCCCAACCATGGCTTTGAAAAAATGTATCGATGAAGAAATCGCCAAGTTAACAACTGATGGGTCAAGTGCCATAGATGGACGCCTCTTTGTTCCTCGTCACAGCCACAAACAAGAATATGTCCTCGGTCCTATCTTTTGAGAAGCTCCTGCTCAACTTCCAGCTTTATACCCTCGCTTGGAGGACCACTTTCTTCTCTACGAAGGAGGGCTCGACTGAGGAAATTGGAGAATGACCCGACCTCACCGTTGCTGGCCGACATTGAGAGCTGAATGGGAGGAATGGTATGAGAGAGTTGTGCCTGCAAGAGAAGATGACCTGCAAGAGCTTTGTATTCTCGATGCCCTTCATCTTTCCAAGTTTAGCATTCCTGAAGACCCTTTTTTGATTCCTGCTACTCTTTACTTTTGGAACATGGCTTTTAATTTTTTTCAGTTTCGGTGTGGCATGATGGCCCCCACCGTTCTTGATATCTGCCATCTCCTAGGGCTTTCACACCTTGGTACTCTTTTTACACCCGGCTATCCGGACCTTCTTGTGAAGTTTCCCATTCCATCCTTAAATTCCTCCTATAGTGACTTTGTAAAGGCTGAAAACAAAAGGGTAGGCCCC